CTCTTAAATACTTTCATTGCCTAGACAACTCCTATTTATCCTTCAAAGGCTGACTCAGATGTTACCTCTTTGAAGTCCATCTCTACTCTACTCCCCTAGCACTGAATTAATGGATTGGTTTTCGAGATCCATGAGTCCCCTAAAGTAATAAAATAGTATGCAGATTATACCTGCCTGTGGGAATGTATGTTTGAGAAAAGGGGCTAAATCTTCCATCAAATTTTCAAAAGTATCTGTGTCTCCCCTCCTCCACAAGAGTTTAGACTCACTACTCTGTTATAAGCATTTATTGTGGTTTTGTTATTTGTTTATAGGTCTACAGTCTATACTAGATTGTAAGTACCTTGAGAGAGGGACTGTACGTGTTAATATTTTGTCCTAGCACAATGCCTGACTCATAATAGGCTCTTAAGAAATGTATGTTGAAAGAATTGCTTCTTGATGTCCTTAACAGGCTCAGCAGTTGAAGGATGCAAGTGGTGTAGTATTCCTTAATTTGAAAGGGAAAGTTCTTCCTTATATTAAACTAAGATCAACCTTTCTTGTTCCTATCTCTGTCCTTTGGAGTTAGAAATTAAGTGTTTCCCCTCTTCCACATTGTAATTGCCTTTTTCTGAGATCATAGTTTATTAGAAAATTGAACTGTATATGTGAAGATTGTTGAAATGTCAAATGTTTTGTTACATATACACTTACTCCTCATTTATCGACTGTCTTGTTGTCTGACATTTTGCATTTATAGCAACAGTAAAAAATCTGCTCTCTGGCTATTTTCACAGTAACAATGTACGTCTGGCAGTAACTAACACCGAGGTGTGAGGTGAGAATAATGCTGGCTATGTGTTATGTGTCAACTTAGCTGGACCATGATTCTCAGTGGTTTGGTGGTTATGTAATGATACAATTTGGCAGTTATATAATGATGTAATTCAGCAGTTATGTAATGATGTAGTTAGCCTCCGTTTTGTGATCTGATGTAGTCACCCTCCATTTTCACATAAATGCCAATTTTTGGATAACAACCAGGTCTTTGGAATGTAACCATTTCAATAAGTGAGGGGTTGGTGTATATTTACCACAATTTAAAAAGTACATTAAAAAAAGGCTAACATGGGGAATGATTTAAAAATAGTACTTTTACATTTAAATATTATAACTTAAAACATGTAAATGTACATTAATTCACTAGTATTTTATTATGGGGCTAATATCTTTTTGTAGAATACGAATCTGCTCCTGTATAGATTTTTCACACAAATCATCCTAAATTCATCACCTACAATCTCCAGTTTGGGTTTGTTTAAAGTAGAATGAGAATTTAGTCACTCTAAAAGCAATCTGATTACATACTTTTTCGAGATGTTTACTGTCTCCCTGTCCTCCTAGTGTTCTACAATTGTCTTTCCCACATATAAATCACCAGTGATTTTTTTTTAACAACTTGCTTTTATAGACTCTGAAATCTTCAGTTTCCAAAGGAATAGCAACTCATTTCAGTGGTTTATATAATGTTTAATTAAATTATATAACGGGTAACTGGCATAAACAAGTCTGTGATCAAACACAGTTGATTCTTTATAAGCAAATGTTTCAGCTGATAGCACCAGAAGTGCATAAGCATGCAAGGTGCTTTAAGCATTCACAATGCTCACACATTGGGAAGACCATCTGCATGTTTCTGATCGCTCGTGGCTAAATTATTTTGAAATTTCCTTATAAGCAGTTTTATTTATTTTTCAATGGCTTTATTTATTTATTTTTTGTACTTTAGATGAAGGTTTGCAGAGCAAATTAGTTTCTCGTTAAACAATTAATACACATATTGTTTTGTGACATTGGTTGCCAACCCCATGACATATCAACACTTTCCCCCCTCGACCTTGGTTTCCCGTTACCAGCTTTCCTATCCCTCCTGCCTTCTTGTTCCTGCGCCTCATCTGGTGTGCCCATTTAGTCTCATTTTGTTTTATGGGGCTGTCTAACCTTTGGCTGAAGGGTGAACCTCAGGAGTGACTTCATTACTGAGCTAAAAGTGTGTCCAGGGGCCATACTCTCAGGGTTTCTCCAGTATCTGTCAGACCAGTAAGTCTAGTCTTTTTTTGTGAGTTAGAATTTTGTTCTGCATTTTCTCTAGCTCTGTCCTGGACCCTCTCTTGTGATCCCTGTCCGAGCAGTCGGTGGTGGTAGCCTGGCACCATGTGGTTGTGCTGGACTCAGTCTGGTGGAGGCTGCGGTAGTTGTGGTCCATTAGTTTGGACTAATCTTTCCCTTGTGTCTTTAATTTTCTTCATTCTCCCTTGCCCTCATGAGCAGTTTTAAACACCTCATCATCCTGCCCACTTTTCTTCTCCTCTTAGACTACTGGTCATCCTAGTTTAGGAAAGAGATAAACCGTATTTGTTTTTCCAAGTGTTAAAGTCTCAGGTGTCTGCTGTTGTCCTGGCGAGGGGGGAGGGGGATGAAATCCTTAAAAAAATTGATAGCAAGTAAAAAGCAGCTATTTAACTATAAAGATGTTGTAAGCATAAAAAATAATGGAAGAGAGGAGCTTAATTTTGCTCTTGAGTAGACTAGACTTAGTGACTCCTGTCATGGATTGAATTGTGTCCCCCCAAAATATCTGGCAACTTGGCTGGGTCATGATTTCCAGTATTGTATGATTGTGTACCATTCTGTAATCTGATGGGATTTCCTTATGTGTTGTAAGCTCTATCACCATGATCTAATTAGATGGATTAGTGGCAGTTATACTGATGAGGTTTACAAGATTAGATAGTGTCTTAAGCCAATCTCTTTTGAGATATAAAAGAGAGAAGTGAGCAGAGACACATGAGGACCTCATACCATCAAGAAAGCAGTGCTAGGAGCAGAGCGCATCCTTTGGACCTGAGGTTCTTGCACAGAGAAGCTCCTAGACCAAGGAAAGATTGATGACACAGACCTTCCTCCAGAGCCAACAGAGAAAGCATTCACTTGGAGCTGATGCCCTGAGTTTCGACTTGTAGCCTATTGGACTGTGAGAGAATAAATTTCTCTGTGAAAGCCATCCACTTGTGGTATTTCCTTTACAGTGGCACTAGATGACTAAGACATCTCCCAAAGAACAGAGTATACAAAGAGAGAAATAGTAACTTTATAGCAGAGAAACCTGGCAGATGCTACCTTAACCAAGTGATCAAGGTTAACATCACTATTGATAGATAAGTCATGTTGATATAATGTACCCTCTAATGTGATGTGATTAGAAGGGTGCCACACCTCTATGGTATTCTCCAAAACCCATAACCCTAGTCTAATTGTAAGAAAACATCAAACTCAAATTGGAGGGTATTCTATAGAATACTGGACCAGTTCTCTTCAAAACTCTCAAGGTCGTGAAAAATAAGGAAAGACTGAGAAGCTGTCACAGACCAGAGGAGACTAGGGCAACATGATGACCAAATGCAATGTGGCATGGATTGGATCCTGGAACAGAAAAAAAGGACGTTAGTAGAAAAACTGGTGAAATTCACATAAAGTCTGTAATTTTGACCAGTGTACCTCATTACGTAAGATATTAACATTAGGAAAAGCTGAGTGAAGTATATACAGGAACTGTGTGTACTATCTTTGTAACTTTTCTGTAGAGCTAAAATTATTCCAAAATAAAAAGTTTATAGAAATAAGAATGAAAGAAATGACACAAGAAAGGGCTAAATGATTTGAAATTTAAAACACATAAGTTAGGAGGCAATAACACTGAAAAAAATATTTGCAACATGATAGATAAAGGGTTAATATTCTTAATATTGGAGCCCTGGTGGTGCAGTGGTTAAGTGATACAGCTGCTAACCAAAAGGTCAGTAGTTCAAATCCACTTATTCACTTCTTGGAAACCTTCTGGGGCAGTTCTACTTTGTCCTCTCTGGTCACTATGGGTCGGAATCAACTCAGCAGCATCAGGTTTATTCTTGATATTGAAGCCCTGGTGACACAGTGGTTAAGAGCTTGGCTGTTAACCAAAAGATCAGCAGTTTGAATCCACCAGCCTCTCCTTAAAACCCTGTGGTGCAGTTCTACTCAGTCCTATAGGGTCAGTATGAGTTGGAATCGACTCGACAGCATCAGTTTTTTTTTTTTTTCTTTGTGTTCTTAATATAGAATATACTTTTACAAGATAACAAGAGCATACTAATACGTCACTAGAAAGTAGTCATTGATCACAATTCATAAAAGAAACACAATGGTCAATAAACATGAAAAAAATTAAATCTCACCAGTAGTTGAAAAATTATCCATTTAAGCAGTATTAGGAACATTTTCACCCATTAAATTTGCAAAGATAGAAAAATAATAGTATTAATTCCAAAGAAGGTAATTGGGTGAATTATAGATTGATGCAACTTTTCTGGGAAGCAGTTTGCTAATATGGTTATAAGCTTTTAAAGTATTCATATCATTTTTATTTGTAATCACATGTATAAGATTTTTCCAAGGAAATAATCAGAGATGTAAACAAATTTTCTTTGAGGAATGTCCATCACAGGGTTATTGATAATAAAAACTTCAAAACAACCTAAATATCTAATAGTGAGAAAATGATTTAAGAAGTTATGGCATACCTATGGAATAGAAAATTGTGGAGCCATTACAAATCATGATATAACTTAAGAAAAGCAATAAAAGTAAGATAAAGTTCACATATACCCTTAGATCCCAGACTTTATGCATATATGTAGAAACATGTCTTTTAAAAGGATGGCAAGAAAATATGCCATCATGTAAAAATTAATTACTTGTCTTTGGGTAGTGAGAAATGGATGATTTTTGTTTTCTTTATACCTCTCTGCATTTTCAAAATTGTCTATTTAGAGTATATATTACTTTTATAATTGGGAAAAAGATTAACATTGCAAGCAATATGGTTGATGAATTTCTTTCATCTTTATTGTTGATTTAATTAAGAAAATGGGTAAATTTCATTTTGTGCTGTGAAAAATATCATTTCCTCTTTCCACTAGGAAGCTCCTCAGGGTGCTCCCACTGCCGAGTGAGAACTGGGGAGCTCTCGTTGGAGAATGGTGTTGTCATCCTGACCCCTTTGCTAATAAGCCACTTCATCCACAAGAGAATGACTGTTTTACTGGAGACTCTTTCTTCTTGGTGAATTTAAGAAGCAATTCATGGCAGCCAAGACCTGAACTTGGCCGAGTAGGGATGCATTGTCTTTCTTCTGAGAACCATTTTGAGTTGGTAAAATATCTGTTCAAAATAAATGTTGATTTTGAGGTTGGCTTAGATCTGGTTTCTCCAATCTTTTCTTAATTCAGGCTTGTTGCACAGACCATTCTAAAGCCTGAAATACATTATTTTCATCTGCCTGTATTCTCCAGGCTCTGCTGCATTGCTCTAGGATGAGCATATGACCTTAAACTGAAACAGCCATGGAGAGATGGAGGAATAGGGAAAGAGAACTTCTTCATGCATAGAAACACGGGAGTGCTACTATTTTATAAACCAAAATGCCTTTCTTTCTCATTTTTAGGACAGTATTCCACGGTCCATGTACATTTTATTCTCGTACCAAAAAACCAAACCAAACCCATTGTCATCGAGTCGATTCCGACTCATAGCAACCCTATAGGGCACAGTAGAACTGCCCACAGAGTTTCTAAGGAGCAGCTGGTGGAGTTGAACATTTAAAGTAAAAGTGTTCTCTTGCTCCAGGATATTTTCTATTCAATTAAGAAGCCAAACCAAACCCACTGCTGTCTAGTCGATTCTGACTCACAAGGACCCTGTGGGACACAGTATAACTGCCCCATAGAGTTTCCGAGGCTGTAAATCTTTATGGAAGCAGACTGCCACATCTTTTTCTTACAGAGTGGCTGGTGGGTTCGAATTGCCGACCTTTCAGTTAGCGGCCAAGTGCTTAACCACTGTGCCAGAGGGCTCCACATAGATATTTACTGTTTCTGCCCATAGTCTAGATTTCTGCTGATGTCATAAAAGCAGATGCCTTCAAAGAAAAGGGGGAAATGGAGGAGCCCAAGCACGTATATGAAGCTCGTGCTGTAGATTCTAAGTTGGTGCTTGACAATGTAAGGTCAGGTGGCTCTTGGTGTATAAGTTGCTTTAAGGAAAAGGCAGTTTTCTCTCACTGCAGAGAATAAGTGGTTTACTTTATTTTAAAAGAAAATCAATGGCATTAGCTTGGCCCTTGTGAGAAATAATTCCCGATGGCGAGTTGATACAGATGTCATTTAAAAAGTAAAGAAAACCATGACCAGAGAATATTCTTTTTAACATCTGATTATTGGTGGAAACAAAAACATTGTTTTTTTTAATTTTGTTTAGAACTCATTTAATTTTTGTAATAAAATGTGACTTTCAACGGGAAACATGCAGCAGTTGGGCGCCTCTTATGCTGTAAATTAGTTTATAGAACTATTTTCTATTTTGAGGACTATTAAGGAAGTTCTTTAAGTATTGAGGTTAAATTGATGTCAGTTAAAATTATTTAAGCACCTCATCTATTACTGTAAACACAAATGCCTTTACCTAAATATGGTTCGTTTTAAATTGTAGTACTTTAATATTCTGTTTTTAAAAGGTAAATGGTAAGAAGCTAATCTAAATTGTTATAATTATATTTAACTTGATTATACTAAGTTTATATTTTAATCTAAATTTATATACCCATACTTCATGTGTTTTAACTTTCATATTTGTGATCAAGGTATAAATTTTTAAAATATTTAGAAAGTGTGAGCAGCAGAGGAGTGGAGAAAGATTAAATAAGAGAAACTATTAATTTCCCTATTAGACAAACTATGCTCTCTTTAAAAAAAACCAAAACCATACCCCCTGCCATGGAGTCGATTCCGACTCATAGCGACCTTATAGGACAGAGTAGAACTGCCCTACAGGGTTTCCAAGGTTGTAAATCTTATGGAAGCAGACTGCCACATCTTTCTCCCACGGAGCTGCTGGTGGGTTCAAACCACCGTGGACTTTTCAGTTAGCAGCTGAGCACTTTAACCACTGTGCCACCAGGGCTCCTTATTTGCCTTCTATGCTGAGATAGTTTTCTCAAGTCTGTGTCTTTGTCAGGTATATGATACCATTGGGCAAGAATTTCTCTTAATTGTAAACAACCATACAATATGTTAAGGAAGATATCATAGTTTTTAGTATCAAGGAGACTGTGGGAAATTACTATTATGACAAGCTGCTGTTGGCAAGATTGTTTTCAAGTTAGCCTAGATGGAAGTTTCACTTTAATTGCATACTGTAGCAGTTGAAAGAGTATGCCTGTGACCAAAATAGTAACATAAATTTGGAGGAACATGCTTAAACAGTGTTCTCAAAGGCTCCTGTGGGAACAAGGCTGCTCTGTGCTGTTGAAAACCTATTTCTCATATCACCCAGTCTAGCCATCTAGCAGGGTTTTGAAATGTCACATGGTGACACAGCATCCTAATGGTATCTCTTGGGAAACATTTTTTTGGCGAGACAATATCAAGGGTCCTTAGAAATTGAAACAACACAAAGGAAAATAAAAACGAGGACAGGAAGCTAATCCACCTCTCTGAGCAGCCATGCCATCTCTCAGATATATTGATTTAATTAGTCCACAACAATGTCTTTGATGTTTGCTTTATAGAGCTCCCACACTGTTAGGCTGCTTCATTATACAACTTGCTTTATGATTTCCTTTACGCATAGGTCAACAAAAATGCATTACAAAGCAGAGTTTCTCTTTAAACAAAATTAAGTGTTACGTAATATCTTAATAAAAACTATCTGATTTTTAAAAACAGTGCAAACAAAGTCTTACACTTGTTTCTTTCCCTCAATGCTCCCTTAGTATGTACGGTATTTTATTTGTGCATCTCTTACTGTGGCAGAATGGACCTTTAATTTTCAAAAGATGTATGCTAATGATTTTCCCTTATTCTTACATTCATTTGTCATCTCTTGTACTGTTTTTGGTTCCTACCAGCATAATAAAACCTGCATCTTGTAATAGGATGATAAAGGTGGTGCCTCAGCCTTTTGTAAGAGTTGTAATATTATTCTAGACTTAGAAAGTGTGGCCACAATGTGACTTCATGCCATTTTTTTAAAAAGGTAAAGGAAATTGAACTTTGATTATGTTACTGCTAGTAAGTATGACTAACATTTTTACCTTTTTCCCCCCTCCTGGAGTACTTAACAGTAATTTATTGATTTTGGTGATTTGTTTGTTTTGTTAAATCCATGTATATTTTTGTTTGTTTGTTTCCGGAAAATGAATTGTTGAATTTATAAACATTCACAAAAGTAAGAAGAATGTTATTGTGAACCACAGTATACCAATCATCCTATTCATCAGTTACGATTTTTTCTGTTTCTTTTTCTTTTTTCTTTTACTGAAGTACTTCAGAGCAAATCCCAGATATTATATTACTTCATCCCTACATGTTTCAGTATGTATTTCTAAAAGTATGGATTTTTTTCCCTACATAACCACAGTTCCATTATCATACTTAACAAAATGAACAATTATTCCTTGACGGTACAATAACCAATCTATATACAGATTTGGCTGATTATCTCAAAAGTGTCTTTTACTGTAGGTTTGCTTGAATCAATAGCCATAAATTTGGTTTTTTGAGGTAGTTGGTTCTTTATTGATCAGATTTTAAAACCCTGGTTACCTGTGCCTGGTAAGGGTAGAATCTTATTTAGAAAACAAACAGACAGAACACACATTTTCTGCCTCAGTGAGAGAAAAAACTAAATGTGCTGCAAGAGCAGTTATAAATGAAATATATAACAGAGCACGTGACAAAAATTTTCTGCTTCAAATAGAAAACTTGTCTTCTGAAGCATTGGTACTCTAATGTTGTATATTTGTTTTTAGAAAAGGCCTTAGTTTTTGGTAAGATTTAATGAGGTGGTCAGATTTAACTTATACAAAATGGATCATTTTTAAAAAATATTTTTACTACCAATTTGGAGTCGCACAGGTATGTTTTACTGTAAGAAAGCATGAAACTGTAGAAATGTCACCCTTTACAGTTGAGCATACTGGTTTATGAGCTGTATTCTTCCTGTAACCTTGCCTGGTCCTTAAACAAATTGGCACCTGCCTTGGTCTCTGTATCTATTACCTATGATGGGAATGACGTCATCCAGTTAGTTCCCCCTCTTGGCCAGGCTCTGACACCTGCTGTCTGTGATGCACTGCCTATAAGGATGTCAGTGGTAAGGCCAGAGATGATACAGTCTGTTAACCCCCTTCATGAATGTTCCTAGATATATTTTTGAGCCAGGTCTGATCTGAATTATGGAGCTTATATTGTGCTTTTGTTTCCTCAGCAGAGACTTTTAGAGAGACTGGAGAATCTGTTCCAATTCCGCAGTTAGACTAGAAAAAAAATGAGATAAGTATATTACCAAAGATTTCTTCAGTGTATGAAGAGATTCCTCTCAAGCTTCCTTCATGGGGAAGAGCCCTATGGCACTTACGGAATTTTACTGCTAGCCTGGGTATGAAGTTGGGCAAAAGGATGAATCACAGAGAAATACCCCAATATTAGTTGTGCAATTGCTTTGGACTTTTTTGACCTTTAACTAAAGTAAGAAATACATTTTCTTAAAGATCCTGTCATACACACACACATGCCTCAAGCAAAAGTTTCTTGAAGCAGTACTTAACCCTATGTTTGAAGCTCTGATATTCTCTATTTCATTAAAAAAATGTAGTCTATAACCCACTAAATTGGTTCCATGATCCATTAATGGCTTGTGACCTGTAGTTTGGGGAATACTTGGCATTGTGCTTAAAAACATAGGCTTTAGCATCTGAGGGACCTGGATTCAGGTAGCAGCTCTCTCAGTTACTAGCAGCAAGTCCGTGGAACTCAATGTGCTTCCTATGTAACTTTTTAGAAAGTAGCTATTTATGTCAAGTGAAATATAATTGTACTAATCAATTAAGACTTACTCCTTAGATTAATACATACAATTTCTCACATAAGAAAGTTACTGTCCTCCCTCACTTAGACCAATACTCTCTATTCTTTGGCTTCCCAATAGGGGTAACCTCAAACGGCCAGAATTGTAGAACTGATCCTTCTCCCTGCCCACCTTTTGTGACTTCTGCCATGTTGCCATGTATCTGTTTGCCAGAAGTGCTTTATGACTTTAAAAAATATCAGTACTATGGATGTGAAAGGACATTCTTTTGTTTGTATGATGATTAAGTCACTGCTAGCTATTTTAATGTGTACCCTAAATAATGAAATAGTATTTTTAAATGTTTTGAAGTTAAAGAATATTTCAGGAATTTGTCCCATAACACTATCCATTTTTCCATTTATAGTGCATATCTTAAATTGAAAAATAGAATTATATGAACAAGTTAAATATTTTATTTTCTGAATTGTGGGTAGTTATGAGTTACAGATTATTTTTACATAAGTTAAACTGGACTGGGAGTCAAAATAATGTGAGCTCAAGTTCTGACGCTTCTGTTTTGTAGACACATGAGTTAGGGCAAGTCATCTACCCTTTCTGCCTTTGTTACCCACCAACTGCCTATTCTAAATTAGAAGGCTATTTGGGAGCGCTTTTTGTAAATGTAGGAGCATTGGTGGCACAGTGGTTAAGAGCCAAAAGGTCGGCAGTTCGAATCCACCAGCTTCCTTGGAAACTATATGGGGCGGTTGTACTCTGTCCTGTAGGGTCACTATGAGTTGGAATTGACTCAGTGGCAGTAGGTAATAGGTTTGTAAATATAAGCTACTTATTGTTCAAATTAATTTGGTACCATTTGGCTCATCAAGAAATCGCTAGGTTTGGAAAAGTCAGTCTGTGCATCATTCTGTCTTTAGATTTGAAAAAAATGATCTATGCATTTGAATTATGCATTGAAACTAAATGTATTCCCAGTATTTAGTAGAGGGCAGAATAAAATGTAAAGTTCAATGTATACTCTAGAGACTATGTTAAAATTATATATTCCTTTTAAGAAAAGCTGAATGACATTTAAATGACATTTTTCTGTTCTACAGAAACCAAAGACAAATACCAAAGTAATTTGTAAGCGTTGCAAGGTAATGTTGGGAGAGACCATGTCATCAGGTAAGAATTTCATACCAAAAAGGCAAAATGATTGCCTTATTATTAAAACAAAACAAAACGAAAAAGCAATAGAACAAGATTTTATAGTAAATGCATTGGAAAGATAGATGATTAATATATGTTATACAGTAGATGCTTTTCAAAATAGAAACCAACTAACCAATATCATCCAATATGCCAAGAAGCTTTTATATTTAGGCCTTTATAAGTGCATAGAAATGAGTTTTAAGCATTAAGCAATGGAGTCATTTTCAGTTTTTCATATCTTTTTGTAGATATAAAGCCAATAGTATAAAGTTTGTACTTGGTTCTGTCCTAAAGAAGATTGGGGCCTTTTTCTTAACATAACTCCTCAATCAGAAGAGCTGGTACCCAGAGACTGAGAAGTTGCTTTTCCTGGCTGCCATCTGCCTCAGGGCCGTTTCATAGAGTGTTTGTGGGAGAAGTTCTCTTGAAAGGGAAGAAGCACATTCTGAGTTTTGTGCTTGGTTTCTTGTTTCTTTTTCTCAGTAGTGTTAATTATGTTTTATGTAAAGTCTGTTACACTGCTTTAAAATGAAATAATGAAAACCCTGATAATTAAAATGCTTCGCTATTTAAAGATATGGCTTTAAAATGTCTAGAGAGCTGCAACGTGAGGTTTGTGGATGATGAATAATTGCTTTTAATATAATTAATTAGAAAATGTGAGTTTAAGTGAAGCTATTGTACTTAAGGGGAAGGCAGATGGTATTTTTTGTTTGTTTTTCAAATCATCAAAATCTTGTATGTACTTGCTTAGAGGAGCAGAAAAGGAAGGATGAATATTAAATGATGCCACGCTCAATGTCATTTTTGGAAAATAAAAGCAAACCTCTTAATTGACAATTTAGAAAATTTTAAGGCTTCTAGTTAAATAAGATGAATTTATTTTTTAATTTTTTTTCTTTCTGAAACCCAGTTAAAATGACAGTTAAAGAATATAAAAGATGTACATCCACAAAAAGAAAGAGAAATGGAAAGGAGATGACAGAGATGTAAACAAATTTTTGGAAGCTAGAAATCTGAGAAATGGTAACATACCTGAAGGTTGGAGGAAGCTGCAGTCTACATATCTGCAGAAGGTCATTTGGGTGAGGAACGAGGCAATATTCACTGTGGAGCCCTATAGCAGTTCAGAATTTTGAGACACCAGGTAACAGGGAGGGCAGTCTGACATAAGGGGCTGGAAGCAGGGCGATTAATTCAGAGTCTATATATGGAGCCATTAGACTCCTAGTTCTCCTGTTCCACTTGTAACTTGCTCATATCCTCCAGATAGGAGACTGGAGGACCGTTTCTTGAAATAATTGAAGAGAACCAACCAGAGAAAAGGCATGCAGATTCTGACTCTTGTATTCAGTCACCTTGAAATCAGCAAGCCTTCCCTGGCACACAAGAGTTTCCTCTTAGCATTTTACTTCCTTGTACTTATATATGAATGGATTGCTGAAGAGCACCAAACATTTGAGGAAACTTCCAACAGAAAAGGGAACAAAGCAGATTAATGAGCAAGCAAGCAGAGTAAAGGCACTTAGAAGCAGACTATGTATACAATGGAAGAAAACCTAAAAAAAAACTTGACCGTAATAAACGTCCTTGGAGAAATGCAATAATATTGTCTCCGTAATTCACAGGACTAAGAGTTAAAATGTAATAGCTTACAAAAAACCTAATCAAAAGACTGGAAGATAAAATTAAGGAAATATCCCAGAAATACTCAGAAATGGGAACCAAAAAGCAGAGAGAAAAAATTGGAGAGGAAATTAAAAAAAAATTGTCATGTGAACTTCCTGAGAATGGGAGCATTGTCTATTTTATCACTGTTACTTCAGTACTTAGAACATACATGGTACATAGTAGGTTCTCGGTAAATATTTGTTGAATGAATGAATAAATTGAATTTTTGAAGACACCAAACATGTAGCTAATAGAAATTCTAGAAAGGAAGAATATAGACAACAGGGTATAGGAAATTATCAAAGAAGAAAAATTAGAAAAACCATATTACAACAGTTTTTTAGAACTAAAAACTTAATAAAAACAACTTGCATTTCTTGACTGGAAGATCCCACTGAATGCCCAATATGATTATTGGAGGGGTGTCAGAGAAGCCACTCCAAACCACATCATTTAGTAATTTTAGAACACCAAGGATGAAATTTCCAGAGAGAAAAAACAACGTACCGAAGATAAGGAATTAGAATGGCCATTGAGTTTCATAAGAGCAGTACTGAAAGCTAAAAGTCAATGAAACAATGCCTTCGAACTTTAGAAGGAAGAAAATTTTCAAGCCACAGTTCTACACAGTCAAATCTTCAGTTGAGTGTGAAGATTTCAAATATACTTCTAGAAATACAACGTCTCAAAAAATAGACCTCAAAGATATATTTTCCTCAGGAATCTACCATAGGATATATATCACCAAAATGAGGGATTTAACCTAGAAAGAGATGATATGGGGTTCAGGAAACGGCATCCACCACAAAAGAGCAAGATAAGGAAGTTCCAGGGTCAGAGATGTACAACATGCCTAGAGAACAACTAGCCTGGGCTGAAGCAAGGGGAGGGAAGGTTGCAGTAAATACTTTTCCCGTTATAAGGTGGAATTAATAGATAATTTGATTTGTTTGACTACGTGTAGACAATAATCTTGAGACAAGCCATATTATCATTTGGGAAGAATTAGCTAGGGGTGCTTAGAAAACTAAACAAATGAAAAAGAAAGCAATTATTTACTCCAAGAAAAAGAAAAGGAAACAGGAAACATCTCCATAGTATCATTATGGTCATAATAATGTAAACACTGAATATTGATTTAACAAAAAATTATTATGTAATGCACATATTAGGAAGGTGAATATGTGTGAGTGTGGGGGGTAGTGTAAAAGAGCTATATACACATCTCTAAAAATAAATCAGTAGGATTCCACTTCCAAATATGGCGGTATACAGATATTGGACAATTCTACCCACAATGGCAGGTTCAAAAAATTATTAAAAACAACCAGATTAGAACAAGATTCCCAAGAATGGAGAGCAGATTTTAGTCACTGATTGGTTCAAAACTTACATGGAAATTTTATTTACTATTTGTGTGATAAGTATATATATAACAAAACATTTGCCATTTCAGCATTTTTTTTATACAATTCAGTGGCATTAATTATGTTCATCAGATTGTGCAACCATTGCCACTGTCCATTTTTCCATCACCCTTTAACAGAAGCTCAGTGCTCCTTAAGCAATGACTCCTTTTCTCCCGCTCCCTCCCATCTTTGGCAACCAGTAATGAACTTGAAAAAGGTCACAAAGAATGGGTAAATTAATAGTCAGACAATGATAAGGATAAAGAGGTTTTCAAAAGATTTTAGATACAAGATAGACACCAGTTTAAATTCAAAAGCTCTATAACTTTGTGAAAAGTCAAAGCTAAAGTAAGAAAAAAAACAATTCTTCCATGTAATGGAATACTACGCAGCCATTATAGAGAATGTAGTCAGCTGTATCTCCAAGATATTATATTGTTAAAATAAACAAGGTATAGAACAACAACAACAAATAACTATAGTGGGCACTGGAAAATGACTAAAGTGAAGCAACACTTTAAGAAATGTTTAGTCATGAAAAACTACTACTACCTTGGATAAGAACAGCAAGTTTATGACCTTCTTGCCTGGGGACGTTGCCATCCTCCCAGCTTGAGCAGCAAAAACCCACAGCTTTACTGTATAGAGATGATGGATTCAGTTCAAGGTAGGTGGTGGAGCAGCTAGAAATTTAAGGGGGAGATTTTGGAAGCAAGAGGGACATCAAATTATTTGATGACAGTTAAACTATGCAGGTGTGGATACTCTTTAGGGAGGCAGGCTAAACAAAGTAAAACTGAATAAAACTCAAGATAAACAGGCACATAAGTAAACTAGACTTCCATCAATGTGAACTAACAAAAACAGCAAACAATAGAAACAGATGTTTGTTATTGGAATGATCAAATATAGACTGTACTCACTACATTTAACAATACAAAAGACAGGTTTGAATATATCTCAGATGAAAAGGAAACTAACAGTAAGCATATTTAAAAGATTCACAATAGGATTTCTGAAATAAATTATAATTGAAATTGAAAATTCAGTGGATGGTTTAACATAACTTGAAGAAAGAGAACAGAGGTAGATGAGAAGAAAAATCTGTAACTAGCAGAGAGAGACAAAGAGGCAGAAAGTACAGAAGACATAGAGCATACACTCAGAAGATCTAATGTATGTTTAATCAGACTTCCAGAAAAGGAAAGAATGGGGCATAGGCAATATTTGAAGAAATAATTGCTGAGATGTCCCAAAACTGATGAAAAACAACAATATACAAATTCAAGAGACCAAATGAACTCCAATTCAGTGAGGTCCAAGTTGGATAAATAAAAAGAAATCCATACCTAGACACATTAGAATTATACTCTGGAAAATTAAAAACAGAAAATCTTAAAAGCAACCAGAGAAAAAGGACAGATTACCGTCAAAGGAGCAGCAGTAGTGGAAGTTTGAAGACTGGAATGATATTGTCAATGTGCACAAAGAAATAATTGTTAACGGAGAATTTTATATCAGGCAAAAATATCCTTCAAAGATGAAGGCAAAGATAAACATATTTTCTGACAAACAAAACGTGGAATAATTCACCACTAGTAGTTGACCACAGCCTTGAGTATGGATTACACCTCAACCTAAAGAAAACAAAAATCCTCACAACTGGAGCAAGAAGCAGCATCATGATACATGGAGAAAAGATTGAAGTTGTTAAGGATTTCATTTTACTTGGATCCACAATCAACACCCATGGCAGCGGCAGTGAAGAAATCAAAAGACTCATTGCGTTGGGCAAACCTGTTGCAGAAAATGTCTTTAAAGTGTTGAAAAGCAAAGATGTCACCCTGAAGACTAAGGTGCGCCTAACCCAAGCCATGGTGTTTTCAGTTGCTTCATGTGCATGCAAAAGCTGGACGATGAATAAGGAAGACCGAAGAATTGACGCCTTTGAATTGTGGTGTTGGCGAAGAATATTGAATATACCATGGACTGCCAAAAGAACAAACAAATCTGTCTTGGAAGATGTACAACCAGAATGCTCCTTAGAAGCAAGGGTGACAAGACTATGTCTCAGATACTTCAGGCATGTTATCAGGAGGGATCAGTCCCTGGAGAAGGACATCATGCTTGGTCAGGTAGAGGGCCAGCGAAAAATGGGAAGACCCCCAACAAGATGGATTGGCACAGTGGCTGCAACAATGGACTCATGCATGACAACGATTGTGAGGATGGCGCAGGACCGGGCAATATTTCATTCTGTTGTACATAAGGTTGCTATGAGTTGGAACCAACTTGATGACACCTAACAACAAGAAGTTTCTTTTTAAAAGAAATTCTTTCTACTTGTATATCAGGTAGATGAAAATCTCCCCGGATAGAAGTTCTGAGCTCTAAGAAAGAATGGTATGAAAGTGGTAAATATGTGGATGACATTAGAATGAATATTAACTATATAAAATAATAATAATTGTGGATTAAAATTTTACAATTACAGCTTAACAACAGTTGAGATGAAAAGGGTCACTTCATAATGTTAAAAGGTTCAATTCTGTATCTAATAACATGGCTTCAAAATAGTAAAGTGAAAATTAACAGAATTTCAAGGAGAAATAGGTAAATCCACCATCATGATTCTTTGGTATATAATAATTTGTTAAGCTGTCTATTGATTTTAATTTTTACCCTTCTCTATGTGTTACATTGAACAGTTGAAAACATTAAAAAAAAAAAAAAATCGACACCACTGTTGTTACTGGCTGCATAGAATTCTGTTGCCTAAATTTATAATTGTTTAACTCATCCTCAATTTTTAGGTATTTAGTTTGTTTTCAAATTTTTCTGTTAATATTATTATGAGCATCATATAGATAATTTTTTTGCATATATTCATTCATATATCCATTCTTTGAGACAAATTCTTAGGTGTTTAATCATGATGTCAAAATGTATACACATTTTTGAGAACTTTGCCAAGTAGCTTTTCAAAACTCATTTCTAATTCTGATTGTATGAATAAATGTGTCCGTTTCTCCATATCTTCATCAGTGCTGCACCTTATCATTTAAAATATTTTGCTGGTTTCATGTTAAAATTTAATATAATTTTAATTTTCATTTCCTTCATTATTAGTGAGGTTAAACGTTTTCCATGATTTTTTTTTTTAACTAAAATGTTTGAGTTTACTTTCGTTTCTATTAACTATCTGGTTTACTGTTTAAAATTTTCTGTAAAGTAAGTAATCAGATAACCAGATTTGGTGAGAGTTGTACGTTAACAGAGTCTGTGAGATTCTGGGTAAATATTAATGTGAGGTTCCTGGTGTCCGTGCAGGGGCTTTGGGATACTATAATCAAAAAATCTTTTTCAGCTACTCTCAGGTTTATGGCTATTCTAGAGAAACAATGACACCAAATGACTAATTTCTGGATAAGTGGGGTATGACTGTTATATCACTAATTTGTATGTACATCTTCTCTGTCTGTTAGCAGAGTCTTGCTACAACAGAGTCACTTTGGGCATGCATTTCTAAAGTGACACTGAGGCTGCAGAACTATTTCCTTGTAGTCATCAATACTGTGTCTTCAGAGACTAAATTCTTTTTGGAAAAGTTTTACTGATTATTAATTTCACCAGTATGTTGAATATTTAATTTGGAATGTTGTAAGTTGGGACTGACATACCCACAATAAGAATATCAGTGTATTGAGAAGATTCTTCATTTTCTTCTGTTTCTAGAAACCACCAAGTTATATATGACAGAGATAATTATTCAGCCATCTGAGAGAAATTTTCCCATTCTACCAAGGTACCAATAGCTAATTAAGTTTATTTTGTTATTTTGAATTTAGAGAAAGTGGGTACAATTGCTTATTTGGGAATTCATTTTTATATGTACTTCTCTTTATGTGGAAAGGCAAAAAAGGAAAAAAAAAAAGCCTTTGAGAAAGACTTTTAGGTAGTTAAACCAAACCAAATATACAAGAGACTTGAGGGTTTATTTCTTTATGTTTTGTTCATATAACGTTATAGACAAAGGATCTTACAACATAATCATCAGTAGTCTTGTGGATAATTATTTTTAATTTGACCTGTTTAAAATTTGAAACATGGAGCAGTTTTCAAATGATTCTTATGTTTTAAAAAATGGTACTTCACCACTCAATCTATAAGCGTTTCTTTTCTTTGAATCTTTTTAGTTTGCAAACAAAAAATAACTGAAATATGTTTCATTGTGGTTTATTTATTGATGTCTAAAAATTATGGCAATCTAAACATAGCCTTGAATTTTATCTTCCTGTAAATACTTTGATTTTACACCTCAAAGCCAACACTTTAATGAAATCCAAATGAAAAACATTGTAGACAATACTGTCTAATGTTTGGGAGGAAATTTCTCACCTTCCTTTGTAACTTTTTCACTGTTTAATGTGTTACAGCACAAATGGAATACCATATTTTACACAAATAACACATGCCTTGTATGTTTGTTTGCCAATCGCACCCTTCCCCTACAAGGTATTTTTGTAAGCACCGCTATGCCAATTTTTTTTACATGTTGCTGTTAAAAAAAAAATTGGCACAGCATGCTTATGAAAATACCTTGCGGGGGGAGGGCATGGTTGGCAAACAAACGTACAAGGCGTGCGTTATTTGCATAAAAATGCTGTATTGTTCTAACATGGTACTTTTTATTCAGTAGGAGAGAATAGATTTGGTATGTAAATGTATTAAGGATTGAAGAAGAGGTTTAAGAAGAATGAAGCAAACACAAGTGTATTAGAATATATTAAAATCCACATTAGCACAATTTGTGAGGGAGTGGGAAGTGTACAGAAAACTCTGGCATGCAGATGTCTCTGCTTTTAGGTACCTTGTGAGTATTTTTGGCTCTTCTTGCCGTTAGAGTTGTTATGAAAGGCACATTGTGAAAACTGATTTCTGTTCCAACAGGTCTCAGTTTGTACAGAGCGTTATTGCCCAGTGTTTGGTGGAACTGTCTTCTGCTAGAAGCACTTTTAGATTCACTATTCAAGGTCACGACGGGAAAGCGTACGTCTTGGTAAGAAATGATTGTAGCCTAGTAATCCTAAGTCTCACAGATTCTTTAATTTTTGTCACTTTTTTCTTAATTATCAGGTCTAGAAAATAAATGATCGAAAATTAATTTTTTATTATCAGATTAATTCATAAATCAAATTCCTTTAATTCAGTTAGAAATGATCAAGTGCCAGTGTGGGCTAGGGCACTAAGAATACAGAGTAAAGTTTGATTCCTGCTCTTTAGAAACTCACCTCACACGATATGGTTTTTCACTCTTAGTTTTTATCGTGGTTAGAATAACACCATTCTGTCTCTCTCACTTTTATTTGTCTATTTGATACCCTTATGTATAAAATAAGTACTGGTGCTCCTATTTTTTTAGTTGCCCCTGTTTTTTAATATATAATTATTGATTTTGCTGTTTATATAAATAAAACATGATTATTATATAAAATTTGAAAAGTAGAGGAAAGCAAAAGAAGAAATGTAAAGTCATAGTTAATCTCAACACCCAGAGATAATCATTTTGGTTCCTTATTTTATACATTCCAAAGTTGGAATTGTATTCTTTTTTAAAAATTTTATTGTGATAAAATATATAACAAAACATTTGCCAATTTAACCATTTTTAAGTGTACAATTCAGTAACATCAGTTATATTTACCATGTAGGGCAACTATCACCACTATCTATTTCCAAATGATTTTCATTACCTCAAACAGAAACTCAGTACCCGTTAAGCAATAACTCCCCATTTTCTTCTACCCCTAGCCCCTGGCAACCACTAATAAACTTGTCTCTATTATACGTTTGCATCTTTTAGATATTTTGTATAAATGGGGGAATTGAATTCTTAAGCTTTTTGTAACCATTTCTCATGTTATTGCTAATTCTTTATACATTTTTTAACCTCCAGAAAACTCCATGGAACATAATTTATTTATTTTCTTACTGAACACTTCGTAGTGATTTTTTCACTATAATAAATAATGCTACTTTGAACATCGTTTGAAATCACACTTATATGTACTTTCAAAAGATTATAGAATATATATTTAGAAATTATAAATTACAGCTTTCAACTATGGTGTACTGACACTCTGGAAGGCTAAACTTAGTGAGTGAGAAAGGGATAGAATTGCAGGTGGCTGTCTGGAAGTTGGACATAATCCACAGTCATTTTCATTTGTGTTGTAGACTTAAAAAGTAAAAGAATCTAGGTACATCCTCGGTAGTGTTTTAGAATGTGCTGCCTTGTGAGAATGACTTAGTGGACAAAAGATTCTCCCTTTCAGCTGAGCAGTGCCAGGGATGTGATGATGGAAGCATATGCTTCCTGTTGTTAATAGCTTCTGTTGGCTTCCAACTCATGGTGATCTCCTGAGCAACAGAACAGAACACTGGTGGGTCCTGCACCATCCCCATGATCAGTTGCAGATCAGACTGTTGTGATCCATAGGGTTTTCATTGGCTGATTTTTGGAAGTAGATCACCAGGCCTTTCTTCCTAATGCTTCTATTAAGGCAGTTCTGTTTCGTTTATTTGGCTTTAGTGTAAGATTTTACTTGAAAACAGGATTTTCCTGCTCAAAAATACTCAGAATCACTGCTACACTAATAATTTCCCTGACTTTTTGGTGTTTGGGAAGTAGTGGCCAGGTTTAGAGGAGAGGCTCTGCAGCAAGCAGAATCATTTCCTAGATGTACTACAAGCATTTAATACTACACTGTTTGTATTAAAAATATTGTTCTACAGAAAATAATTTTTGACATGTACGTAGAAATCCAAGAGTCATGGCCCAGGTCTCTTCCCTGCATCCACATCTGTTTTATTCAGTCAGTAAACATATACTAAGTCATCCCCTATTTGAATGTCACTGTTCTAGTTGCTCAGGGTAGAATAATACCTTCAAGCAACTCACAGGATAATAAGGAAAACATGGTAGCAAAAAAGAGGCGCGATGATGGGGAGGCGGCTAGGGCTTGTTGCTAGGTGTGCCTTTGTAGTTGACCATCCATTACAAGGACCCCATGCTTCTCTAATTTCAGATCATTTCTATGAGAAGCTAAAATACGTCCTGACTGAAGTTGATACAAACTACACCTTATAGTCATAGCTTGAAATCAGTTTTGTTTTCTTTTTATTGCAAGATTTTCAAGCTGAAAATCAGAAGTAAGAATTTTTTAAACCTATGACATGTCATCAGGAAAGACTAATCTCTAGAGAAGGACATCATGGTTTAGTAAAGTAGAGAGTCAGCGAAAATGAGGGAAAGCCTCAATGAGATGGATTGACACAACAGCCCCAACAATGGACTCAAACGTACCAACATTCATGAAGATGGCAGAGGACTAGACAATGTTTTGTTCTGTTATACAAAAGGTTGCCATGAATCAGAGCAGACTCTACTGCAGCTAACAACTATTATATATATATAGATATATATATTTTTTTTTAATTTGTTTTTATATTCTTGAAACACATTCAGACAACATGAAGAACATAAAGAAATGGTAGCTTCCTCTTCTTGTCCCCTCCTCTGCCCTGCTATATTACACTATCCAGAGGTAATCACTATTAACAGTTTGGTATATGTACCTCAAATTTTTTTTCTATCCATATGCAACTATATATATATGTACATGCACAGGTATTTGTGAAAAACAGAATCACGTGATTAGCATTTTTCTGCAACATGCTTCCTTCGCATAACAGTGTATCCTGAGCATTGTTTCTTGTTAGGGTAAATATAGATCTCTTTGATAACTAGTACTCCATTTTGTGACTATTAAAGACAGTGGTACAATGAAAATAATCTTTGCATGCATATTTTAGTACTTCTTTACTAAAAGTGGATCCCTGGTAGCACAGTGGTTAAGAGCTCGGCTGCTAACCAAAAGATGGGCAGTTTGAATCTACCAGCCACTCCTTGGAAACCCTGTGGGACAGTTCTGTCCCGTAGGGTTGCTATCTATGAGTCAGAATCAACTTGACGGCAATGGGTTTTTTAAAAGTAAATGAATCCTTGGAATAAGATTGCGCGGTATTAGAATATGTACATTTTAAACCCTGAAAATTGTCACCCTCCAAAACTGTTACACTCATTTACCCTTATGGGGTAAATTAGTATCTCCTTTACTGGGCTGGTACACCCATTCCCTAGATGCTGAGTGTTGGCTGCTGATGGCTCACAGCTACTCCCTTCTGTAGAGAATTGCCCTTGGCTACCACATGCCACCTTTCTCACTCCCTTTAGTGCCCTCCACTCTCCCTCCCTCCTGCCTTGGTCAGCCCAGCTGCCAATTACTGACTGACCCTGGTGTTATGGATTGAATTGTGTCCCCCCAAAATATGTGTTGTAAATCCTAACCTCTATGCCTGTGGTTATAATCCCATTTAGGAATGTGTTGTCTTTGTTATGTTAATGGACAGGATTAGAATAGGGTGTGTCTTAAATCAATCTCTTTTGAGATATAAAAGAGAATAAACAAGCAAGCTAGAGAATCAGGATGGGGTAAGATAGATGCCCAGCCACACGGAGGTCTCTAAGGAACCAAGAAGCAGAAGCTGAAGAGTCAAGGACCTTCCTCCAGAGCCAACAGAGAGAGAGAATTCTCCTGAGCTGGTGCTCTGAATTTAGACTTCTAGCCTCCTAAACTATGAGAAAATAAATTTCTGTTTGTTAAAGCCACCCACTTGTAGTATTTCTGTTACAGCAGCACTAGTTAACTAAGACACCTGGGGTACAAAACAATGGGCCCTCCTGTCTCAAGGTGAGACCAGCTCTGTAGGTACACTTCATGCACCACAGCTCCCTGGAATCAGATTGAAGCTTGGAACTCCAGCTCAAACCACATCCTTGCCTAGCTCCTTCCCCAGTCTTGCCTGTTTCCCTTACTCCCTTTCTCCTGAGAGGATTCCCTCGAATCATGTACACTCAAATCCCAGAACACTTCTACCAGTGGTGTATGGGAATACCCATTTCTAAAACCTTCTTCTAAACTGGATGTTTTCAGTCTTTGTACTAAGTTAAAAACAGCAATGTAAAAAATTCGCATTTTTATTACTAGTTAACATTTTTATGTTTATTAGTCACTTATTTCTTCACTTAGTTTACATGTTTATATTTTTTGCTTGTATTTCTATTGGGCTAGGTTTTTTTTGTTCCCCACCCCCCCACACTTACTTATTTTTAGAAGCTCTGTATGTTATAGATGGAGCCCTGGTGGCACAGTGGTTAAGAGCTACGGCTGCTAACCAAAAGGTTGGCAGTTCGAATCCACCAGCCACTCCTTGGGAACCCTATGGGACAGTTCTACTCTGTCCTATAGAGTCGCTATGAGCTGGAATTGACTCAATGGCAATTGACTCAATTGTATATGTTATAGATAATAATTTTGTTATATATGTATTAACTATTCTAGACTGTTTTTAACTTGATAATGTTGGGTGCTCTATCAAATGTTATGCTTTGAATGGCCCTCCTTACTTAAAAATTATGTACATCTTTCTCCTGTATTTTTTTTTCTGGTATTTTTATAGACTTTTTTCCTCCCTTTTGAGTGGTGGTATAATAATGAATATAGTGGTAATATTCTTATACTTGGATTTTTCTCTTTATACCTTTAGTTATGGCTTTTAAACTCAGACAGTTTGGTGATTGAATCTTTGGGAAATTCTAAAAGTATCAAAAAATTCCCGTTGTTGGAAGATATTTTGAAGGATGATTCCAGTTCTGCCTGGAACGCCATCAAAGTCCTGTACCAGCCATGTATCAAAAACAGGAACAAAAAGTAAGTTGTGCTTTCATTTTCTCATTCTATATTATATTTTAGTTTCTATTGCCATGTTTGGTGTTTAAGAAATTAATGAATTAAATGGTACTGTACCACTTCCCTCCTTGAAGCTTCTAGGAGTCATACTGCTAAATATTATACTTTCAAAGTAGATTGAATTATCACAGATGAATCATGCTAACATGTAGAAAGCTTACTTTTATTGAAAACAATTGGTCTTTTTCTTGCTAACATATAGAAAGCTTACTTTTATTGAAAACAGTTGGTCTTTTTCTTGCAGCCTCAGCTGCCTGTACATGTGGGCTGCAGTGCTAAATCAGACTTTAACAACTATGATGATTTACTGATAAGGTCCTTCTAGGCATTGGGGATACAATAGTGAGCAAAACAAAAGCCTGCCTCCTGGCCTTGCCGTTCTGATAGGGGGATTGCAGACCATAGGCAAAACAAACGCAAAATAATAAAAAAACGTGTATAGCTCTTCCTATGTGTCAGGCACTGATCTAAGGGCTTCTAGGTCATTTAAGCTTAACAGCAACCTTATGAGGCAAGTACTACTGTTATCCCCATTTTAAAGATAAGGACGGTAAACACAGATGTTAAATTTCTAGTGAAAAATAAAGCAAGGTAAGGTACTTGGAGACTGCTGGGATGGGTATAGGAGGTTGTCATTTTATATTGAAAAGTCAGGGAAAGTTCGTCCGATGAGTTGATATTTCAGTTGAGAACTTGAGAGAGTGAGGAATGAACCATATCTGAGGGAAGAACATTCCAGGCAAAAAGAATAACAAATGCTTTATTTGAACACATTGGAATTTTATACATATCCTATACTCTCAAATTGGTTTGATCAGATTTGTTCTAAGAACAGAAAGATCCCAGTCTTCTTCTGGGAACTGAAAAGACATTAAAAAAAGATTATCGCTTAAAAAAATTATGCAAGCAGTATAAATCATAAAAGAATCAAATAGTACAGGTATACATAAAGTTAAATATGAAAGTTCTCCATCATATCCCTCTCCAAAAGTAAAAAGTTTAATGCGTATTCAAGTCCTTTTTCTGTTCATTCTGAATTCTTAACCTAACTTGAATGATACCATATGTGTGTGTGTGTGTGTGTGTGTGTGTGTGTGTGTGTGTGTATGTATATGTGGTATGTATATATTTAAACACTATATCTTGAAGATTCTTTCCGTGTAAGTGCTTGGCATTTTATGAAATTGGTATACTATAAATTATTTAACTATTTTTCAGTTGATAGATATTTGAATTATTTCGTTTTTGCTTTTATAATTATTATTGTACCTTTGTAACTATGTTTTGTGATTATGTGCAAGTTTTTCTGTAAGAGGGATTTCTAGAAGTAGAATTGCTGAGTTAAAGGGTATGGCCATTTAAATTTTTTATAGATAATACCAAATTCTCAAGAAGGCATTGCCAATTTATACTCCCACCCGAAGTTTCTATAAATACCCATTTCCCTACACCTTCATCTAAATTGTCATTTAGGTTTTTGTCCATCTGATGCCAATCTAACTAAACAGGTTTGTGTGGCTATCCTTGTGTTTCATTGAGGCATGGTCAGAGAATATGGCTTATGTTTTACACTTCGGGGAACTTGCTGAGGTTTGTGTGTGTGTGTGTGTGTATGTGCGGTCAACTTTTAAGTTGTTCACTGGGTATACTCCTGTGTTGACTATTTTGTGTGTGTGAGTGTGTGTGTGTGTGTGTACCTTAAGATTTAAATTTATATAGCTAAGTTTATTAAAATCGTTTATATTCATCTTTTTTATTTATTTGAAATGTGGAATTTTGAGAAAGGTATGTTAAGTCTCTATGATGATGGAAAAGCCATTTTTTTCTGGTCTTGATATGTTTTTGCATTATATATTTGAAAGCTATGTTACTAAATACATAAAGGTTTGTGACATGACAACTCAAATGACTGCACATTTTATCAGTAGGAGACATTGCTTTTGTCTTCCTTATTTCTAATTTTCCTGTTGTTAATTTCTATATTCTTTATTTAAATAATTGATTTGTTATATATTTTTCCATTTCCTTATTTTCAGTGTCCTGTGTCATTTTATCTTAGGTATATGTCTTGTAAGCTACATGTAGCTGGATATTTTAAAATTCCAAATGTGAGAGTCTCTCTGTTTTAACAGTCAATTTAACCAATTCACATTTATTATGATTCTTTATATAGTTGGACTTACTCCTGCCATGTTTTGGACTGGTTGCCTTCTTTTTGTGTCATTTCTTTCCTCTGATGATTTGAAAGTAAAAACATCTATTTCAGATTTCTAGTTTTTAAAATTTTAACACACATATTTAGACTTAGTTTTTATTATCAATATCTAGTTTAATTAGTATCTTCAAAAAAAAAAAAAACTCTTTACAAGGTTTCACGTTTCTTTTCTTGCTCCATTCTTCACCTACCCGCTCCCCTACGTTGAGATCATCTGGGATTCTGATGATGGTGGTTGTATTTCTTCTTTAAAAAAATGTATCAATCCAAAGTGCTACTCTGTTTGCTTACCTCTTACTTATTCTTTCATGTATCTTGACTATGAATGTTTTTATATTTTTATTGTGTAAGTCCATTTCCCTAACAAATATGTAGTATTGTTTGATATGGTTTAAAAATATTTACAAATAGTATTATATGTATCCTTCTGTAATTTTCTTCATTCAGTATTCCTTGCTTCACTTTTTAATTTGATGTAGTATATTCTGTAACAATTCTATAAAACCAGAACTGGAGTCAATACTTGCATATCTGGAAATGTATTCTGCCTATTTTGTCTCTTTGAAAACCTTTAGGATTTTCTCTTTATCTTTGTGTTTTTAAGATTTCATGAGGAAGTATTTAGGAGTGAATGTTCAAAATTTTCTCTATGTCATTATCTGTTCTTGTTTAATAGGTGCAATATTCTCGCAATCTATGAAGATAATAATTATATTTAAAGTATTCTGTTTGCTCTACTAACTCTTTTTCGTTGAGTGTTATCTCTTCTTTTTTGAAAAGAGAGGTTGAGTTTGGTACTTCTTTTTCATAGTGTAGGTTTTTCCAAATGTTTGATGATTTTACTAGAGTTCCTGCAGTAGAACATAAGCTCCATGCGAGCCAGGACCTTATCTGTCTTGCCCATCACAGCATCTAGATTAGTACACATAGTAGGTACTCAAAACATGTTTGTTAAACGAAGGGTTTGTAGTTTTCTCTTTATCTTTGTATTTGATAATTTATCTATTTGTGACTATATGTTCTTGTTACCATAATCTGCCTTTAGGGAAGAGTGAAATAAAACTCAAAGGCTCGAGTGCTAGTTTGCCTTTTGGGTGTTAAGAAAAGAGAGGTGATTGTAGAATCGGTTATAGTGATGAACCTTTGATTCACTATTATGTAGAATCTTTATACTGCTTTTCTTGAGGAATGTTACAAGGATTCAATATGCCTGTCCCATTATTTCACTTATTTTTCACAGTCCACTCTGGCACTAGAAATAAAATGACTATAGTCAGTTATGTTCTGCTGTGTTTGATTAGAGGACACTTTATTTTTTTAACTCCAGATGTCTTGGGGACAAGTTGATGTCCAATAAATGAGTTTAGTACCTCAGTTTGCCTGTTTTGTATAACTGTTTTTGTTGTGCTTTTTCCTCCTGCTAATATTTGAGTCTGTATCTCCCAAAGGTAGGAAGAGAATTTCACAAGCTGAGTAAACATCCTGTGAGTTGTTGACTTTTGTCTTTTAAGGACATTAGCATCATTCTTTTTGGGTATGACTGAGCAATCTGTAGACTCCTGCCATATTTTTGGCACATGGGGTGATGCATTAACTATTTTAGTCCAGTTGACTAGAATTTTTTTCTACTGGAAGTTTGGGTTGCCAGATGGTAGTCTAAAAGAGGAAAATAGCAAATGTAAGTATGATTTTATTTCCTTGAGCACACACAAAAAGTGGCATGTAATATTTTTAGACTGTTCTTTCTAGCAATAGATATATCTTTCTTAACAAGAAAGTTGTTTTTTTATTACCCCCTTTCCTTCTCATTTTTGCAATATGGTGAGCACCAATGTGTTTTTTGTTTGTTTGTTTTTACTTTTCCAAGTATTGCACTGGAGGAATTTATTTTTTATCTCAGCATTCATATCAGAGTTTAGAGTCAAAGTATTAATTTTTAAGTGATGGATTCCAATCTAAGTTAACTTCTACAATTTAATTTGGTTAATGTATCAATCCACCTGTAATCTCATCTTCTCTAGACTTGAGGCAATTTTACCCCCAGAGGACCTTTGGCAATGTCTGGAGACATTTTAGTTGTTACAACTTGGGGTAGGAGTGGGGAAGGGGCTACCGGCATCTAGTAGGTAGAGGTCAGGGATGTTGTTGAATATCCTCCAGTGCACAGAAGACCCCACCCCACCCACAACAAAGAATCATCCAGCCCAAAATGTCAGTAGTGCCAGGGATGACAAACTGCTCTAGGCTATCTCCTGAAATCAAGTTGTGTCTGCCTTTTCCCTCTGAGTGTTGTAGCCCACTATTTTCTTGAAATTCTATTTGTGCCAGCAAATAAGAGAAACTTTTACTGTGGCATTAGCTAAAATCTCTGTAATCCCACAAGTTGAATTTGTTAAATAAACAGGATAAGTGGTGAAATATAATATAAATATTCGTTGTTACACTTCTTTCTTCTTTTTAAATAAGGGAAATGTGAAGAATAGATTTATTTTCATTTAAATAATGGTGAGAAATTTCATAGGTTTCAAGTCTCTTGTTCTCATATTTTAAAAAGAACTTAGGGAATGTAATCATTAAGTGTAAATAAGTGTTATTTTTTAAAACCTAAAGTGAATTTTCTTCACTGTGTAAGTTACATAAGTTCTAATATTGGAACTGGTTCTTACCACCTTTTTCAAAAGATGAAGTGTCCAATTTAGGAATCTTGAAAATTTGAACTGAGTAAAGCTATTCTACAGTCCTACGT